GCCCGAGAATGCACCTCAGCAGTACAGTACTGCCTGGCAAGCTTGAGGCCCTGAGTTTGATTCCTGGTACCAAAAGAACAGAACCAGCCTGCCCAACATGGTCCCAGTTTTATTATACAAATATGAAGTATGTGCATCTTCATTCATTCATTCCACAAACCCCAGGCTGGCAGGCGTCCGAGTCCAAGTCTCACTCCACCTTGCAGCCACAGGGGTTGGAGTCTGGACGCTTGGGCTGGCCCTTGAGATGCCAAGGAGTGGGGATGAAGCTGTGGTCTGGAGACAGCAGGGAGCCTGGGGCCGAGCAGGCACTGCTGACTTCCTGAAGGAAGCGGTACTGAGCTGGACACTGAGGAGGGCAGCTGGGCAGCAGGGTAGGGAAACCCTGGGCACCCAAGAGTTCGGCCACATGGGGGCAGTGAGTGCCCGGCCCTGGTCAGGGCCAAATGGGTGACGGACTAGGGTGGATAGGGCTCTGGGGGCCACAGGAATGGGAGCCACACCCTGGCCCAAGAGAATAACGGGGTGGTCAGGGAGGCCCCCAGGAGGCATGGGTGGGGCTGAGGCCTGCAGGAAGAGCATTGGGAGCCGCTGGGGTGGGTGCACCCCTCGTGTCTACAGGAGGGAGAGGGACCCAGATGAAGGTCACTGGACCAAGCCGGGTGTGCTGGCGCAGGCCCGTGATCCCAGCACCCTGGGAGGCTGAGGCAGGAGGATCCCAAGTTTGAGCCCAGCCTGGACAACACCAGCCTGGGCAACTTAACAATTTAGTGAGAACTTGTTGAAAGGAGAAATTGGGGTGAGGCTCAACCGGAAAGCCCTGGGTTCAATCTGCAGTACAGCAAAACAACAAAATGAAACAACAGTCACTCCGTTGGGAATGAGGATCTAGCTTCTTTGGGGGCTCCTGTTGGCATGTACTCTCTGAGGCTCCCAGAACCAGCCCCTCAGCACTGTTCTTACGGCCCCCATCTCCTGCCAGCCAGCAGAAGAAATGCTGGGCCAGTCAGCAGGAGCCGGACATGGGCCACAGCACCCCCTAAGGGCCAAGGAGAGTGAGGACTCATGTCCTCAGACATCTGGTCCACCGGATGCTCAGGGCTGGTCAGAGCCACACCACAAAGGTAGAGCCAAGGAGCCAGGGCTGAGCCTGCAGAGGTCATCAGGCCCTTCACGCTGGCCTGGACCTTAAGTGAGCTCCTTAGGGTTCCCTTCACAGGTGAGCACAGGGCCACTGCCTAGCCCCGCCGTTTGCCATGGAGGTGGCCCGGGACCGACGCTGTCTCCTCACACAGATGAGATCATGCTCCCGAGTGTCTCAGAGGTTCAGCAAAACACATGGAGAACACCTGAGGACATTGGAAGGAGCAGGGATGGGAGCTCAGTCCCAAGGGGGCCAGGCCGGGCACTGCAGGGGCTTCGGGAGTCTCCTGGTGGGGTGAGATGCACACCACACCCACTAGGAGCATGGAGGGAACTTGGCAGCTGCTGTGCCAATGATGCCGAGTGATTAGAGTCCCGGGGACCTCAGGGTACTGGCACGTTTCCATACCCTGCTTCGCTCACTGCCGCTGTCTGTGTAACTGGTTAAAAAGGGCTTGCTGTGGGGCTGGGACAGCAGGGCTTAGAGGCTTTTGAGCAAGCTAAGATGCTTGTGGGGCAGGCTGAACAGCAGTGTGCCCAGGCCCCATGCCCATCTGTCCCAGAGGTGCAGGAGCCCTGGGAGCCACCGCTGGGAACTTCGGAAGAAGCAGCCTGAACAGACAGTTGCTGCAGAGCGCTGGTCCTGATCAGGGAAAGGGCCGGAAGTCTGGTGCAGGCCCCGTGCAAGCCCCAAAGGAGCTGGACTCCACCTCTAGGCCTGCTTCTGCGTCTGTAAGAACGGCAGAGCCAACGCCTCTGTGGGGTGGTGCAGCACCAGGCTGTGCAGATGCGACACGCACACTTGCAGCATGTAGAGTGCAGATGCTAGCTCCATGACAAATGCCACAGAGGCTGCACTGGGGCCAGTGCCTCTCCAAGCTCCCAAGCCACCCCAGCGATTGAAGCCAGGGCCGAGGCAGGTAAGATTCGGGAGGGGACACGCCCATCCCTGAGGATGCTTGGGACACCTGTGGCCCTGGTCTGGTGCAGAGTGGGAGTGGGTGGCAGTGTGGATGGTGGTGACTCATGGGAAGTGGCCCCTACTACCTGCAAGGACAGCTGGGTGGCCTGAGGGCACAGGTCTGGTGGTGGCACAGTGGAAAAGGGACTGGCAGGTGCCGGCCGGCCAGGTGTGTTGGGCGTCCAGGTGTGTGAGGCTGCTCCCAACCAGGGCCTGGAGGAGGACTGGGCAGGTGCAGCAGCCATCGTGCCAGGGACGAGACTGGCAGGTGGACGATGCCCAGCCCGTGGGTGTGAGCCAGGGCTGTGAACACACACTCCCTGGTGCGGACTCAGCTTGGCGTTGTGTGTGGTGCCACAGAATCGATGGTGACAGGGACACTCAGTTCACCAAGGCTGACAAGCATCAGGCTGAGGACAATCAAGTGCAAGGCACTGTCACCTGCTTTACCACCCTGCAGGAGCCGGCTCCATTGAAAAGAAGAAAGGCTTATTTGTTTATTTACTTATTTTTGAGACAAGGTCTTGCTATGCAGCCCAGGCTGTCCTCGAACTTGTATTGATCCTCCCGCCTCAGCCTCCCGAATGCTGGTAATAGAAGGGTGCACCACTGTGCCCAGCAAAAGGGCACTTAACTGTTAAAGGCAGGTGGAAGCAGAAATCACAAACATCTGTGGACTGCCCACTAGAAGATCTTGATTTGTTGTAGTATGTTATTGATCCAAAGAACAGTCTGAAGAAGTACAACTTGGTTTCAGTTTCAAATCACTGTGGCAGGCCGGACAGAGGCCACCACACTGCTTACTGTAAAAACGCAGCGAGACAGCGGTGGTTTAAATTTGATGACCATGGAGTTTCTGTTTCTTCTGTGAAGTCATCAGCCTCCTATATTCTCTTTTATACTTCACTGGGACCATGAGCCACTGATGTAGGATAAGGAGACGTAGGTGATGAGCTAGCTCGTGTCTGAAAAGCTCAGCCACACAACTCCTGAGCTACTTATGAGACAATAGGAAGCCAGGCGGACCATGTAGAGGATTCTAGGCCCCGGAGCTATGCCTATCATTCAGGCCAGTGCTATTACCAGAACTGACAAGAAACATTATCACATTACCAAGTATCGTGGTAAGCGTGGTAAGCATCCCTTACAGGGACCAGTTATTTTAAAACAACTTTAGTCTGCTACAAAGATAAAATCATTAGCAAAGCATTATTATACTACTGGTTGAAGAACTGCTGTAACCTTAACCTTCATTTTCCTATTCACTGTTAAGGCCTTATCACGTTTTTTGTTTTTTTTTTCCTTTGGTACCGGGGATCGAACTCGGGTCCTTGCGCTTGCGAGACAGGTGGCAGAACCACTGAGCTAAATCCCCAAACCCCCTTCTCATATTTCTAACCCCAGCTTGATCTTCGAAGAAAAAGAAAAAAAAAAAAAGCAGCAGTCAAAAGGCTTACATCGAAGGCGCCCCCTGTGGGTGGAAGCAGTACTTGCATAAACCCAAAGGCTGTTGAATGAAAATCCCCCCCATGGGGCTGGGCTCCTTCCTGGGTAGCTGGCCAGGGAGGCCTGGAGAGCCGCACCTTGCAGGCTGTCGCCACTGCAGCTGGTTGCTCACCTGGACCTGCCGGTAAAGCCCTGGGGCTGAAGACGCCGCTTGCTTTGGCTGCCGGATACCAAAATCGAGCGGAGCCGAGCCCGAGCGCCCTCCCTGCTGGCTGGCGTTTGTATCACCAGAGGACGCTGTGCAGGCCGCCGGGGCGGACGCGTCACCACTGATCCTGAGGGGCTATGGGCGTCGTCACCACTTAGCACAGCCCAGGCAGGATGCAGTAGTACCACGGGTGGCCTGGGTGCGACCAGCCACTTTCTGATGGGACCTGACGCCTGCTCCAAGGCAGGGGAGCCGCATTTGGAACTGCAAGCCAGGACAGAAGCCCATGGCTGCGAAGTCATCAGCCCCCACAGTATCATCCACTTTTGTGAAATGCAGCGACACCACCGTCTGAACGTTTGTGTCTGTGCACACAGGTGATCGCAGCCACCACCACAGCAAGAGGTTCCGCGGTCCTCCTGCCTCGGCCTACCCAGTGCTGCGATTACAGGTGAAGGCTGAGGCGTGGACTGAGGCTCAAGTTCCTGTGTGGAAGGGGACAAGATGTCAGCAAGAGCCACAGGGTCCCCTGCACGTGGGGTGAGAGGCGTGGTCCTACCCCAGGGCAGTGTGTCCCGTGGCCTGGGTGGGCCCTTAGCCTGGCCTGCACCCCCCACCCCGAGTCTGGTGCAGCCCCGCCCACCCCCACTGGCCCGGGAGCCAAGCATGGGTCACCAGCAGCAGCATCCTCCCAGGTGGTCGCCCGGCCAGAGACAGTGGCTCCCTCCCTGGGCATCGAGCTGAGGTCTAATTATCCCCAACAGCCCGGACTCCAGTTAGAACTACGGCTGCAGGTGGCTGCAGGTGGACGTCGTGGCTCACGCCTGTAATTTCAGCACTGGGAGGCTGGGGCAGGAGGATCGCTGGAGTTCAGGGGCAGTCTGGGCTACACAGTGAGCTCGTAACGAGTGTGTCTCAAACCAAACCAAAAGAAAGGAAGAAGCACAGACCCCTCCATCCTGACCCAAGCCTGTACCATGCAGGCCAGTGCCCAGGTCTGGCCAAGGCTCCTCACCTGGCCACCTGTCACAGGCGATCCCGGAAGCCTGGAGCCAGGTGGCTGCTGGCCAGGCTGGGCCTAGGTCATGGCGACACCACTGTCAACGGGCCACCTGCCACCTCAGCAGAAGCTGGGGTCTCCCTGCAGCTCTGTGCTGAGGGCCAAGGCCCATGACCCCCGCCTCTGCTGGGCTCCTCCCCAGAGCCCCCTGGGCGAGGAGAAACAAAGACAGCACAGCCAGGTACAGTTCCGAGGTTGGCGTGTTTTTGGTTTCATTTTTTTTACTTTTATAAAGAAAAATAAGGTTGTGTTTTCTGTTGGGAACAAAGCATGAGTCAAAGTCCCTCCCGGGCCCTTGGGGAGCTGGGCGCCAGTGCAGCGGGAGCCTCCTGAGGGCCACAGGCCAAGGACAGGGATGGAGTTTGGTTTCCTTAGATGAAAAACAAAAATAGAAACACGGACACACCCACTGTACAAAGGGGAGTGAGGTGCCACCTCCACGTTGGAACTCACCCTGGCAGGGGACTTGGGGTCCAGCACCGCCCCGTGCCCCGAGGGACAGGAAGTGTGACAGCACCCACACTGGAGGAGGCGTCCTGGATCAGGCAGCGCCTCACCCGGCAGAAGTGTAGAAAAATAAACTAAACTTTATCCCTGAATGACAGTGAAGACCCCTTCTCTGGCCCCACGCCCACCCTCCCATTAGTCCCAGAGTTCACCAGGCACAATCGCCTGGGGCAGAGGCAGGCACGAGAGTCCAATCCCCCCAGCACCAGGCCAGGGCCAGGCCCAGGCTGAGGTCTCTCGTCCCCCAGAGTGGGGGTGGGGACGAATGTCCAGCATGGAGGGACCAGTGGGGTGGGGTAGAAGGCAGTTGGCGGAGGTGGCCTGGGGGAGTCAGGTGGGCACAGCAGGGCAAGGGGGAGACGGTGGGGTCTGAGGGCTGGGAGGGGTCCAGTGTCATCCAAGACTGTAGCTCGCATGGAGCCAGGGGCCAGGCCGGGTCCCTGTGGTAGCATGAGCGGGGGGCCAGGGGGCCAGCAGTCACGGAGGAGGGGTGCACATGGCAGGAGGGGACAGGGGGCAGATGTCCCACGGGTCCTGAAGCCACAGGAAGGGGCAGTGACTCCACCTGAAGGGGTCACCCAGGGGACTGCTCTGCAGGGGCGGGGCCTCCCCATCCCAGGCCCTCTTCATCCTGATGGGGCTCGGAGGTGGTGTGGTGCCAGGGGAGTACAGTCCGAAGAGTGGCCTTACGGCAGCAGGGACGTCCCCACTGGGCAGGGATTCCTGGCCTTGGGGTGGAGGGTCAGCACCAAATGCGACGGATGTCAGCCAAGGTGGCAGTGGGTGAAGAGCAGGGTCCTGAGGACAGGAGTTTGAGGTCCCTCAGGGTCCCCTGAGGTCAGGGGCCCTGGAGACGGAGGGTCCCGTGGCAGTGGTGATGGGCGGGCCCTCCCTGGGCACTGCCCTTGGCACCCAGGCGCTCAGCGCAGGCTCTGGTACAGGTAGGCGGAGGTGAATACAGCATTGGCAGCCAAGCTCACCGCCAGGAGGCCCTGGGTCAAGGAGGGACCGAGTCGCCCTGTGGAGGACACAGCCCGTCAGAGCGTGTGGCGGGGCCAGAGCACCCAGTCCCCCGGGGGAGCAGTGTCGGACTCTGCAGCCACCTCCATCTCCCGACCCAGGGGCTCCCCTGCCTCCCCTAGGGTGCCCATTCCCAGGCACCGAGAATGACCATGACACTTGTCACACACACACACACACACACACACACACACACACACACACACACACACACACACACACACGAGGAAACGGGGACCCAGGGGAGAACGACGCTTCCCAGCTGCCCCTCCTGCACGGCCCTCTGGGGTACGGACCCTTCCAGGCGGCGGCCTCCTCCGAGCACCCCCGGGTGGTGGTGTCCACCACACACATGGACGACTGGGAAGCGTCATCCTCCTTCTTGATGGAGCGGCTGCCGCTCTCCGGTCTGGCGCGCACATCTGTTGGGGGCAGGGTGCGGTCTCAGGGTGGTGCGCAGGTGCTGGGTGAGGGCGGGGCCCGACCCAGCCACCTCCCTCTCAGCAGAAGGCCGGGTCCTCCTCGAGCCCTGGCTGTGCAGGAGCCCTGGGGAGGCAGCTCTGGGGACATGGAACCTCGACTGCCCTGTCCTCCGCCTGGCCAGCATCCAGCCCAGGGTGGCCAGATCTTCTGATGCCCTTAGAGACAGGAAGTCTAAGCATCGGTGAGAAAGAGCAGGCGTGGTGGCGCACACCTGTAATCTCAGCACTTGGGAGGCTGAGGCAGGAGGCTGCCGTGAGTTTGAGGCAGCCTGGGCTACACAGTGAGTTCAAGGCCAGCCTGCACTACACAGCAAGACCTTGTCTTAAAAAACAAAAAATTATCTGTGAGAAAGCCCTAGATGTTAAAGCCAGGAGCCCAATTAAAAATGTTTTAAACATCTGTGATATAAGAACATTAGAGCCAAGTAAAAACATTCATGACCGGCAGCCTGGCCGCGATGATGTGTTTTCAATGTATCCCCGAGAATGGAGAGCCCTGGTTTAAGAAAAAAAGACAAAATCAACCGAGAGAGGGCAATGTGAGGGGCCCAGGTGGCCAGAGCCACACTGGGAGTTCAGAGCCGGACAGTGACCAAGGGCCCTGCACTCACCGGCGCTGTGCATGGTGTCCCTGTCGGGAACGGGCTGCCTTGCGGGTGGCAGGGGTGGCCCCGGGGTGAAGAGGTTCCCGCTGTGTGGGGAGTGCTCCTCCGAGCTGCTGGGGGTGCTGGGCAGCTCCCCGGGGGTGGCTGGGAACAGCAGCAGCTTCTGGCCCTTCAGGTTGAGCCGGGCGGGGCTGATGAGGGGCCTGCGGTGGCGCAGAGAGCCGTAGCTGGAGGCCACTGAGCTGGCCACGGAGGGCGCTGGAGATGGGAGAGGGGAGGACAGGTGGCGGCCCGACAGCAAAGAGAAGTAATCTGCAGGGAGGGAGACAGAACAGCGTGACGCTGCCACAGGGGGCTGATGGTGCGGTCAGGGACAGCAGGGAGCCTGGCTGGAGTCTGAGCGAGCAGGGGCTGCATGGGGAGGAGGCCACAGAGGCCCCCACCCTTGAGCCCCAGCCCCAGCAAGGAGCTGACTTGGTTGTCAGAGCCCAGAGCTGTCTCCACCTGCGGATCTGACCTAATAAGCAGGCCCTATGGCAGAGGAAACTGAGGCGCAGGGTCTGGTATCTTGTGTGTGCAGGCTGTGTGGCCCCAAAGCTAATGTTTGACCCCCTGTCCCCTGCTCGTGAGCCCTGACTTGGCGTCACCAGCCCTCCCATGGGCTCTCGCTCTCCTTACCCGAAAGGGGAACCTCCTGGGGGCGAGATGCCCGGGATGGTGGGCGGCTCCCGCTGAACAGGTACCCCGAATCTGGACAGGAAGAAAGCAGTGCAGGTCAGGCCTGGGGCCCGAGAGCCACCCTTTCCCTGCCACCTCCCAGCCGCCTCCCAGTTGCCTTCCTGGAAACACAGGTCCGGCCTGAGCCTCAGCCGCAGCCAAGTCCCCTGCAAGGGACCCCCTGGGGAACTGAACATGCTACCACCCCCTAATCCATGTTCTCCCAGTGCCAGCCGAGCTGCGCATGGAAAGGTCCAGATGTGGGGGCTTGGGGGACCTGCCCCCCTCCAGACCAGCCCCTGTACCCAGGGATGGGCCGCAGCCCAGGGAGAGCCCACAGGGACAGACGCCCTGGGTTCATGGCAGGTGGCCTTGCCTGCCGTGGCATCCCCAAGCCTGGTGCTGTGCCTGAGCCTGCACAGGGGCTTGGGAATGCCCTGCGGGGGACAGGTACAGCCACTGGCCACCAGCAACCCAGCTGTTTGGTGACGCAGGATGACCAGAGCTCAGGTCTCTGCTCTAAGGGCGAGCACATCTCCACTGCCTCTCTGGAGGCCTCGAACTATCACCACTCAGCTCAAATGGACTCTCTGTGCAGGTGGCCGTCTCCATCCTGGAGGACGCTCACACACAGCACCCTGGACGAGTCACCTAAGAAACTGGGGTTTGGGTCTGCACAGAGGTGCAGAGCTCCCCAACTGGGGGAGTTGCTGCGGGGCCTCAGTAAAGAGAAACAGGGCTGACCGGATGCACCCACATTGTCTTGAAGGCCCCACAACCAGTGAGCTGGCCACCAGCATCTGCCGAGTAAGGAAGTGGCTTCCCAAAGGGGAGCAAGGGTCATCACAGAGCTGCCTGGGCCCCGGGCAGGTTGCAAACTGGATTCAAGCAGAGCGTGTTGGTGCATGCCTGTAATCCTAGTACCCTGGGAGGCTGAGGCAGGAGGACCGCACGTTGGAGGCCAGCCCTTGGTCTCTGTCAGCACAGTGCGGTCAAGAGCAGTAGGAAAGGGTGAGAGCCACCAAGCACCCCGGGTGCCTGTGGCCTTCAGAGCCCCTGGAATTCATCATCTCATGGGGCCCTCACTGGCCCCAGCAGATGCCCTCTCCTCCCACTGCACTCTGGAAGGGTGACGGGCTGTGCGGTCGAGTCCCTTGGCCAGGAGCAGCAAAAGAGCAGGAAACCCAGCTCTGAACAGGAACGCTAACCAATAAGCAGCACTGCCCCCGCCCGCCCCGCCAGTGTCCATGCTGCCGCCCTACTCCCTTCTGCCTCTTACCTGCTCGAGTCAGAGAGGGGATGGTGCCCAGCGAGAGGGCCCGGCTGAGGCGGCCTGGCAGTGAGGAGGGCGAGGCCCGTCGGGGCGGCCGGAACAGCTGCTGGTTGGTGAGCGGCAGGAAGCCGGGTGGGGTGGGCACGAACAGGGCCGGCGAGGAGCCCGTGACACTGGGGCTGGGCACTGTAAGGCTGGGGCTGGCGGGGAGGAAGCCCACGGCATCTCCGGGAAAGCACCTGCAAGTGCCCGTGGGGCACGGAGAAAGGAATGGGTGAGCCTCAGTCTGGAGGTCGCCTGGCACAGCGGGGCCCGGCCCCAGCTCGGGTGCAGGGGCCCGGAGTCGGCGTCCCAAGGAGGCGTGCGTTAGTGGAAGCAGGAAAGCAGTCGTCCATTCGCGCCATTAGGAGTGGGTGGCTGGGGTGCCAGCATGACGAGCCCGCCCTGCATGCCCCTCCGGCCCCTCAGGCTCACAGCAAACTACCTCCACTAGGGCCTCGCCATTAAAGCGGCACTGTCACCCTTGCCAGCCTTGAGCCACCCCTCGCACTGATGCAAGGAGACTCAGTGGACCCGGGTTCCGCCTTGCCACTTCCTGTCTGTGCCCAGAGCCTCCCACAGAGCAGCAGAGCTCAGCGACGCCCTGAGTGGCCTTGCTGGGCACACAGCTCCGAGGAGTCCCCCAGTGCCCTGCGTGGGAGGCGGCTGGGTTGAGGATCCCTGCAGGCTGCACCAGACTCGCACTTAGAAAAGCCCCGGAAATGACCACCAGGCTGCCCGACAGACAGAGGTGACAGTGTCTCTTTAACTCGAGAAGGTACAAATCACACAAGGGAACCAGTGGTCCAAGGCCAGATGCCAACCATGCTTCCAATTAAGGCACCCGATTATGGGGGGCAGAGGCAGTTAATACATTAGTCTGCCGTCTGGAAGGAGCTCCCAGAGTCCAGCCTTACCTCGGTCCCAAGGGACAAATGGGCCCAGCGGACACTGCTGACGGAGGGGCAGGCAGGCACAGGCCCCGCTGCCCAGGCCATCACACCAGAGTGCTGGGGCCACTGGCCACGACGGCTACCTCCACCTTCCCAGGTATTTTCCACCCCGTCCCGTTAAAAGGAATTTGGCAAGGAAGGCGTGGACTTCCTGCAGAATCACGTGACCTCCCCAATCTCCTGCCAAGTACCAGAAGGCCACCAAAGGCCAGGCTCGGTCTCTGGGGAAATCGAGGCAGAGTGAATCCGCAGAGGGGCCTGGTCAACCGGGCCCTGGGCTGGACGTGCCCTCGCTCTGCCTGCTGACCTGTTCTTTGGGCCTGTCCAACACTCCAAGATTCTAGAGAGGAATCTGCCTCCAGCCAGGAAACAGTCTGGGGGCCATGCACCAGAAAATCCAAAACCAAACCGAAACAAAAAACAAAGGTGTTTGTGTTCCCATTCTGGGACTCGAACACCATCTGGCAGGACAGCGGGAAGCAGCGTGGGGACGGACACTTTCAGGCACCTCAGGGGCAGGGGCCTGGCTGGTACCACGGGTTTGCCTGGCCATGCCTGGGTCTCGAGTTGGCAGCCTCACAGCAGCAGGTGCGGGCCTCAGAGTGGGCGTATAGGGCCAGGCCCTTCCAGCAGGTGGCAACAGGACTCTGCCACCGACGCCCAGGGACAAAGGGCGAGGGGCAGTGGTGAGGGCAGTCACAGGTTTCAGAGGTGGCCAATGGGACCTCAGTCTCCTGGCACCTTGGGGTCAGCACCAGTGGGCACAGCCAGGTCCGGCCAGCACGCCTCTGTTTTCCCAGCCCCTGCCCACACTGAGCCCCGTGCAGCCTGAGAATCTAGCCACTCGGCACAGGGACTGCTCCCGACTGGTGCCACCGAGGGCGTGGGCACTTTCTGCAGTGACGCCAGGGGACCGCACTGCACCTCCCATGGCTCGGCAGGTGCCACACTGCTTTGGCCAGAGGCCGCCCCAGCCTGGCTGCGCTCAGTGCCTCAGCACCCGGGGTCTGAGGCCCAAGTCTGTGCGTCCCGAGGTGGGTGGTGACTGTGGCACTGTGGGGAGGATGGCCTGGGGCTGTCACCCACCCCAGGGGAGCTGTGCACTCTTCTCCTGCCCAGCCCCAGCAGCAGCCCAGGAGAGAGAAGTTTTAGGAGACAGGAAACCCGGACAGGACGGGTGAGGACAGCTGAGCATCCCGAGTCACTCGAAGTCTCTGTCACCAGCCCTTGAACCCTCACGGGCACAGGGGCACCCCAAAGCCCGACCCCGCCACCCAGCCTGGGCACAGAAGCACTTCTGAAGAAACATACCAGAAAAAGAAAAACGCTGTGGTACCTGACGCCAACAGAAGTAGCAGGGCCCGGGAGGCATTTATTGAAAACACAGCATTTGGAACAAGATGACTAGGGCTGGGGTGGAGGTTACAGCGGTTAGGGGTCACTAGACAATCCACGTTCTACTACACAAAGACAGGAGGACAGAGGTCACAGGCCTCTCCGGAATGGGGCGGGGGACAGCCAGGGCCGGTGGAGGGTGGTCCTGCTCAGTCCAGAACAAGTGGTATGAGGGCACCTGCTCGCCTGGGGTGGGGACCCCGACCCACAGGCTGCAGGAGGCTGAGTCCACCCCTCCCACCTCTCAGGGACGGCCACTCTCTCCCTGAGGGACCCCACCCTGGCCTGGGACAGCTGTCCGCTGTCAACAAGGACACCCCAGGGGTGCCTGCACTTCCTCAGCTGTTGCCAATGACACCAGAAGGTGCTGGCACTTTCTCTAATGAGACTTTAAGAGGCAAGCAATTAATTTTTAAAAGTCACACAAAAGGCTATAAAAAGGCCAGGAATCCTTACTGACACGCCTTCGCGGACCCACCAGAGGGCTGGAGAGGCATCGCCTAGCGGGGGATCCCGGCCAGCCAGAGCTGGCTCCAGTTATTATAAATAATTTAACTTAAATACAAACACACACACAGATGTCCTGCTCTTACCCAATGCCAAAATGCAGAAATTAGCATCACACTGCCAGCTTCCTAAGACGGGAGACTCTTGGCAAAGCAAGCACACACGGCTGGCAGATCTGCACCTGCCTCCTCCTCTGCCCTCTTGGGCTGTTTTTCAGGGTGAAGGATGGGCAGGTTCCCGACACCTCGAGCACATGCAACCACCGGGGCAGGTGTAGCTCGTGCTCCCCACTGCCCCCCATGCTGAGCTGAGGCCATGGCCTCATCCATGTTTGGGGGTGGTTTCTTGTCTCACCCCACATGGGACAAGCTGAGCCCAGCGAGGCCCAGGCCTGGTCCAGAGTCACACAGAAACCCCTGGTCCACCTCACACAGCAGGGCAGGGGACACTATCTCATTGTGGAGGTGCGAGGGTGGGTGGCCTCTTAGGACCCTGAACCTAACAGGTCCGCCAGGCAAGGCTGGCCACCGCCGCCTGCCTATCTGCGCCCTCAGCCTTGGGCTGGTGGCTTCCACTGGACGTGAGGTCAGAGGTGTGATCAGCTCTCTCCTCCCTGGGCTCTGACGCAGTGGAGGAATGGCACTCCCAGCAGGCGACAGGGTCACCAGGGAGGGGTGTGCAGGACACTCAGGGCCACCAGAGGGCAGCGTGCCCTGTGGCACTGCAAGGCCTTGGGGCACCACAGGGCGAGAACTTCCCCTACGTGTGGGCAGCACCTCAACTCCAGGATACGTCCCTGCATCCTGTCTCATGTGACCCTCACGCCCGCAGCAGCCAGCACCCTAGGTCCCGGCCAGGACCACACCCAGCCAGCAAGGAGCAGGCCCGGCCCTTTCCCCAGGGTGGCAACCTTGGGGGGCCACACGCCCAGGCAGCCCTACCTCAGAGGTGAGGGGAGGCAGAGGCCTGGAGGGCTGTGTGGCACCTCAGAGAAGCGGAGGGCACCCTCCACGAGCTGCTGCAAGGTGGCCAGTGACAGGCCTGGCCAGGGACAAGGACCTGGTGTCACACAGCCGCCGTACTGCTCGCGCCCCTGGCCTGTGCTTCTCCTGGGCTCTGCATGGGGCAGGGCTGAGTCCTCCTGTGGGGCCGCAGCGGGGGAACCTGCTCTCCCCAAGGTGCTGAACACCGTGGCAGGCTCATCCTTGCTCTCGGGCAAGGCCAGGCAGGGCCCAAGGGCTGTGCTGTCCCTTTGGGGAAGGGAGCTGTCTTGGGGGAGGAACTGGGTAGGGACCTCAACAGGCAGCCTGGCTGCAAGCAGGACCGCAGGGACACACCAGGCGCAAGGTCCAGGTGGGGACAGCTGGTGCCTCTGCTCTGGCCCTTGTGCATCCTGCCGAGCGGCCCAAGTGGTCAGGCCATGCGGCACCGTCCCTGTGCCAGAGCTCAGCAGGAAGCTGGGGTCAGAGGCAAGCTGCGTGGATGCTGCCTGCGTTTGGGGCTTGGTGGGTGGAGAAGGGGGACATGGGGCCGGGCCGGGCCCCAGGCTCTAGGCCGGGAGGGGAACGAGTAAGAAAAGACAAGGCCGAGGGGCACCGCCTCCGGGGGGCCAAGTCCCGGACCTGTCCATCTGTCTGTCCTCCCCCCACAGTCACTGCTGCTGCTCTGACCTTCGGGGCCGGAACCTCCTAGGGCCCGTCACCTTCCTTGTGGCCACGGTTGCTGTGAAGCCCACTAGGCAGCACAGGGACATCGCGCTGAGCTTGAGCGTGTCCAGCCAGCCAGGCGAGGCCACCTGCAGGTACTGCTCGGCCAGGTGCAGCCCCAGCAGCAGGGCCCACAGGCAGGCGGAGAAGGCGTCGATCCTGCGGAGTCTGCGGGAGACAGGGCGTGGTGGGCAAGGGGCCAGGGGAGAGGACAGGACCCAGCCCCGCCGCTTCTGTCCACCTGGGCCTGCAGCTCTGAGCCAGACTCACTGCTGCCCTCAGCCTGGGTCCCAGTGGGGCCTGCTGAGCCACTGCGAGGTGCGGTATGTGGACAGCGCGTGTGCACGCACACACGGGAGAAGCCAGGCCCCAGAGCACCTCACTCGAGCCTCAGTCAACATCACCTGACTTTACAGACAGCAGCTTGAGTGGGAGGAGGGAGGCTCGCAGGGAACAGGGACAAGGCCTACTGGGCTGCACAGTACACAGAGTTCGGCCCAGGGCTGTGCACACGCAGCAAGGCCTCCCGGCTCCGACCCCGGCCACCAGCATGCAGACCCATGCCCGCCTGTGTCCCCAGCCCCACACGCACCTGATGCGGCCGGCCAGCAGCATGGCCAGCAGGCAGGTGAGCAGGCCCATGGCCACGATGCCCATCTGGTGGCTCTGCCCGAAGGCCCAGGCCTCCAGCAGTGTCTCTGCCGTGTGCTCGGGCAACAGGTCCAGCAGCTGTTGCCAGCCCTTGGTCCCTGGGGCAGTGCTGTTGTCTGGTGCGGCCGAGCTGTTGGTGCCAGGTGGCAGGGCTGGGGGCAGTGCGACACCCAGGGTGAAGGGGTTGCTGGGCCCGTATAGCGCTGTTGTCAACAGGAAGGTGCAGGCCAGGAAGGCCAGGGCGCGGAGCAGGATGACCTGGACCGGGGCCTTCACCACAGAGGAGCTGAAGCTCTGAGGGAGGGAGGGAGCCAGGTTAGGAGGTGCCACAGAGCTGCCCACAGCACCCTGTGCCCACTCAGGGTGGGGGTGCCGGCCAGGACCCCACACCCCTCTTGCTTCTGCATTTGTTCCCCTGCTGTCCACCCCACCCTGCTTCTAAAGAAACCTTTCTCGCACTGCGATGACCTTGGTCAATCACCGTGTCAAGTCCTCACCAGAAGTCCCCACTGTGCTTTTAACTAAACTGCAATCAACGTACAGATGACCCTGGCAAGTTAAATTAAAAAGAAGAAAAACAACACAGCAATGAGCTCCTCAGTCCAGGAACCAGGAGGCTGGAATGAGAATCTCAGGTCTGAGAACAGGGTCCATCGGGTGTGTGCTGGGCAGGGAGAGAAGCCCCTGGCTTATTACATAGTCAGAATATTCCACTAACTAGGTCCTGTGAAGGAAGTTAGTGTTTTAGCCAGACACTCTTGGGGCCCAGCCCTGGCACTGTTATTCACCAGGTGCAGGGTTCTGTGCAGGTCTCTCGGCCTCCCCGGGTTTGGTCTCCGCAGCTGTGAACGGGCATCACAGTGGCTGAGGGCACAGCGTAAAGGCCGTTACGAGGGTCAGGAAGGTGCTCAGGCAGCAGCGACCCTCACATTGGGACCCTGGTCACTGTCCTTAGGACGACACCCATCCCCGCACCTGGGCCTGGTCTGCCTCCCGGCGCCGGAACTGGTGGCTGAGCAGCAGGGCGCGCAGCTGGCGGTTCTGGTGCTTGATGTAGTACTCCACGGCCACCTGGCACGGCCGACACAACTTGTACATCTGCTCCAGGTGGTGGCGGTACACCTCGATCTCCTCGTCATACTTGCCCTGCGTGTGTGTGGGGACAGAGGTCAGGGCCCACTGGGGGCAGTGACACCAACAGTCCTGCTGCGGGGACACAGCCAAGGGCTGAGACTCGGGCGTGTGCCCTGCCCGGTGGCTCTGAGCTCCTGGACAGTGGCTGGGCTGTGGGGAGGTGGCAAACAGACAGCCCAGGACCAGAGCCTGCCCTTTCCCTTCAGCCAGAGGGTCTAAAATGCACTAGAGGGCTGCTGCCCGGGCCTGGGCCTGGGTGGAAGCTGAAGGGCTCTGTGGGCTTCGGGACAGATCAGAAGCTAAGTGCCCCAGCTGGCCCAGGGACACAGCAATGCACCTCTGCTGTCTGGATGGTCATCGGCGTGGCTGGGGAAGCCTGGTACCAAGCCCTGCCTTCCTCCCCTTCTGCAGACCCCAGAGCTCCCTAGCAGGCCGGGGAAAGCCAGTGTCCCTGTGCTCAGCTGGGATCTGCAGTTGGAGGTCACGGGATCCCAGGCTTGGTGAGGTCTGGGGGTGAGTAGGGGACAGGCAGGAAGAGCAGCCAGGTAACCAGTGCCGTGGTCCCACAGGGGACCCAGGGGAGGAAGCTCCCAGCTCAGCCGGGCTCCTAGTCAGGCAAGGCTCTCAGCACCACCTGTGTCCTTCCACTGCAAGAGCCAAGAGGTCCTCGGCCCTAGTACCTGTGGGCAGAATGGATTCGAGGGACAAGGACGCAATGGGTCCCACACCTCCCTCTGCCCAGGACCAAGCCCTCTGTACTGGCAGGCCTGGGATTTCCATGGGGTCCCCCGGCGTGGCTCTAGGCACAGGAGAGCCAGAGGGAAGCAGCCCTGCGTGGCGGCACGGGGGCGGACTCACCTCTTCCCTGGGCGTGAAGGCGGCCAGCTGCTTGATCTTGGTGGTCTGGTGGTGGTTGCACTTGCGGCACAGAAGCACCTGGCTGCTCACCCACTGCTGTGGCTGCGCAGGGTCATGGGGGCTGGGCATGCTGCTCACCACGTGGTTCAGGTGCTCGAGGTACTGGGCAGGGATGGGCTTGTTGTAGTCGCCGTTCTGTGGGGGTGGACAGGGAGGCGCCCTGGTCAGCGGGGAAGCCTTTCCCGAACCAGCGGTGGCACTGACCCAGGCCCGGGCCCAGGCCCAGGCCGTGTGGCGACGGCCAGGATCTGACATTGCCACTCTTTCTCCACCAAGGGCAGCAGCTTTACTGAGACACTTCCCAAGGAGCCGAAGGCACAGGCACTGAGGGCGAAGCCACCCAGCCTGGGCCCTCCTCCCTCCTCACCCTGCTCCATCCCCAGGATGTGTGGCTCTCAGGTTTGTGCAAACTGTGGCCTGTGGCGTCTGCCTGTTTTGTAATAAAGTTTGACTGAAAGCCACCCTCCTTGCTCCTAGGCTGGCTATGGGTCGGGTAGGGGAGCAGTTGACAGCGACCATATGGCGCTCAGAGCTTCCATTACGACTGCCCGGCCTCTGCAGAGCTGTATGGGTCTGGGCGCACCCCACGGTGGCTGCATGTAGCAGCAAGTTTGGACAAAGATGCCTGGGAGCAGTGAGAATAGAAGCGAAGACGTGGCCAGCGCCTGTGCAGTGGGGACGGGGCCGCCATCCCTGGGACAACCAGCCCAGGAGCACCAGCCGCACCCTGCTGTGGCCCGCACCTCCTGGAAGCCGTTGTACTGCTCGCAGTGGGGACAGTCCCAGCAGTTGCGGTTTCCGTAGGGCACGTGCGTGTCGTGGTTGCAGAACCAGCAGTTGACCACCATGTGCGTCGGCTTTGCCCTGTGGACGGAGGACAGTGCTGTCAGCCCAGGAGACCCCAATTCCTGGGAGATGCGAGGCCCGGCCCCAAGCCACCAGGGAAGGGGTGCCTGATGCAGAGTCCAGGATGGCCAGAGGAGGAAACACCACCTCTGAGCAGAGGGACGCAGGCTGGTGCTGCTGCATCCTCCCCAGGGACCACACAGAGCCACTTGACAGCACCTCCCAGGAGGCGGCCAGACACTCACCAGATCCAGAGCATCCATGTGGGGACCCAGGGCCACCAGCCCCCAATGCCCTCAGGCTCAGACATGGGAGCCAAAGTCTCAGGCCCATCAGGGGAAATGGCGCTTCCCGAGGGCTCCTGATGGACAGGGGCTTGGGGCTTCCCCGCAAACAACCCAGAGAGCAGGGGAAGCTGCAGGGTAGGACTAGTGACAGCTGTGACAGTGGCCTCGCTGGTCACACATGCGGTGACAGGTGACAGGAGACACTGGGGATGTGTGCTTGGCCCCTCCCAGGCCTCGCTGGCAGGGGTGCCGTGGGGCAGGGGGGAGGCGCAGCAACTGGCCAACAAAGCCCTCCAGTCTGGCAGGCCAGGACCAACGCGGGAAGGGCAGCAGCTGCTCAAGCCCTGGGGTCCTGGTCCTGCCATCCCCCCGCCCTCCCTGCAAGCCAGCTCCACTTCAGCTCCAGCTCAGGACACTGCCCGGGCCCAGGCAGCCCAGGCAGCCCAGGCAGCTGCTCCCACAGACGGACGGCCCCACTGCTCAGACAGCCGGGGCCTCGGCGCTGCCAACTTCGGCTGTGTGGCCCAGGAAGTTCCCACCCTCCCAGCCTGGGTAGCCCTGCCTGCAAACTGGGTGCTACGGCACCTACAGCTTCCACCTGTTACAAGGACGCAAGGACACAGGTCACAGAGTGCATCGCAATGCAAGGGCCAGCTCTGCCACCACCCTGTCGGGGGGGAGCTGGGCTCCAGCTCCTGTTAGTGGTGCCAGTGCTGCCGCCAGGCCTTGGTGCTCCCGTGGGCAGATTAAGGGAATCCTGTCACCTGTCGGCTTGGTGCGGGGCCCCTCTCTCCCAGGGTCGTGTCTGTGACAAGCACTTGTACTGCTTGCTTGACAGTGCCTGGCCCACAGGATCGCCAGATGCCCACGAACCATAGTGACGGGCTGGGGAGGCAAGGGCAGAGAAGAGGAAAGCGAACCAGGCCCATGTACCTCACTCAAAGCCCTCCCAAGGACCACGGGGACGGGGACGACACCTTGTCAACAGCTGGGGGCACCAGGCAAGGCCTGAAGGCAGCACCCTGGGGAGGGCGGCTTCCAGGGAGGGTCAGCTGTGGGCCTCCTCCCACATCTCCCTTTCATTCCCTCACCGCAGAGGCTGTGGAAGACCCCACCAAGTGCTGAGCCCGGTGGACGGTCAGGACTCCCCTGGACAGCTCCGCTCGGTGCCACCAAGGGAATGGCAATCCCAAAGGCCTCTGGTGCCACCCTCGGCTGGGGCTTGGGCATCCACACTCTCTTGTTGTGTGCCCATTTGGCATTTGGCATTCCAGGGCAATTAAGCATATTTATTTTTTGTTAATCTGTACCTCCTTTACAGGCCTCTTTGTAACTGCACAGAGGCAGGTCCTGACAGCTGGTGACCAGGCAGTGTCCTTGAGCCTGGACAACCCCCTCCTCTGAGTGACAGCCCTGCCACCCCACCAGGGCCACCCAGCCCTGGCCTGTCTGAAGGGAGGCCATCCCCTGCACTAGCCCTGGGGATCATTGATAGATGAGCAAGGGCTATGGCTGCTGCCCAGGGAGCCCGCCATGAAGCCCCTCCTGTCCTAGGAAGCCATGGTTTCCACTCTGATCTCCAGCTCTGTTGCTAAGGAAATGACTCTTTGTCTCCTGGAGCCTGGCCCGGAAGTAGAAGGCAGGGATTATCTTGCATCCTTGGGGCCAGCAAGGATGCTCCCATGTGACCAGAGCAGCTGGCACCCACCCTGGCCTGGCAGGGTCTCCAGCAGCAGCCATCTCTTCCAGGGGCAGCCCTGAGAGGAGCAGGGCGGAGCAAGGGACAGCTGAGAGTCGCCTCTTGGGCCTCGTGTTCCTAGGGCAGACTGGGCAGGCCTGGCCTCAGGGCCCAGCTCCACCAGCTTGATGTGGGCATGGCCCTTTGGCACCGCTTTTGCTCAGGGAAATGCCTGTGGGCTTCTCTCATTTGCCCCAGCCCCAGTTCTCTCCCTCAGGCCAACCTGTCTACAATCTGGCTCCAGTATGAGTCATGCTCGGCGGGCAGGGCGTGAGGTGATGAGATAGTTACACAGGTGATGCGGGTAACCAAGAAGACAGCCCTGAAGAGGCCACCTTGGGTCAGTGCTGGTCCAGACCTGGCAGGACAGCAGTATGACCCCTGCCCCGAGCCGAGACCATGTTGGGGAGGCAGGGTGGGACCCCCAGGTGGGCAGACATTGATGCTAAGCTTTTTTTGTACTGGGAATTGAACTTGGGACCTTGCGGTTGCGAGGCAGGCACTGGAACCACTGAGCTAAATCCCTGGCGATGCTGGCTTTTGGGATGCCAGAAGGGCAGCTGCAGGGTCGGTACCCACAGCCAGGAGCACTCAAAGGGACAGAGATGCCGGGGATTTAGCTCAGTGGTTCCGCCACCTGCCCCGAAAGTGCAAGGATCTGAGTTCGATCCCTGGTACTAAAAAAAAAAACCCCAAAAACACAAAGGGCCAGAGATGAACATGCAACTCTGACCAGGCACCATGCTGTCAGCCCTGACTGGAGGCCAGAACAGAGCCTGGGGGCAGCTTGCCTCTCCCTGCCTGAGCAGGGACCCATAGGGGGTGGTCCCAGAGCTGTGCCACACAGAATGGACCCCATGCCAATGGGGCTCAGGAGCTGCTCTGGGGAGTTGTGTGCCCACCAGTCCTCGCGGGGTGTCTGGACCCCCAGGGGGCTGCAAAGACGACTTCTGAAAGTCAGTTCGGTTCCCTTGAGAGCAGGGAGCAGTGGCCTTACAGATGGCTCCTCCCTGTCTTTCCGAGTGTCAGCCAGGCAGCACTGGCCAGCTCGTCCCCCGACCCCGGGCAGAACCCAAGGGACCTCCAAGCATCCTGCGCCAGCCTCGAGCAAAACACATCAAAATCCACAGCAGTGCCACCAGTGCCAAGAACCCAGGTCTACACCCCTCTGCGGAGACCTGGCTTGGGCTGGCACGCTGCTCCCATTAGTTTACCGAGCACCATGCGAGGCTTCCAAAGACTGGACACCAGGGCAAGAACAACAACCCACAGGGCAGCCGGTGACAGACGCTCCAGGGCAGTGGAAAACACACAGGGCATCTCCTGTCACCCTGAAGAATGGGTGCACTCAGCACCAGGGCAGAAGGCGAAGGGACTGAGGACGGCCAAGGTGCCGAGAAGCAAGCCCGGGAAAGGAGAGAAAGCTGCAGGGACTCTGAGCGCCAGGACAGGCCCTGCTACATGGCTTGGTCCCCAACCCCAACATCGACAGATGCCACTGGGGGCCTGGCCGGGACATGATGGGTACAGGAAGCACCTGCAGAGGATGAGCCCCAGACACGAAGGGGACAAGGGACAAGACCCAGCTGAGTAGCAGAGCCAAGGGCTAGGAGAGGCACAGGCTACCACGACGGCCTGGGCACAGGGCAAGCCAGCCAGGGGATGTGTCACCTGGGGCCTCCGCCCCGGCAGCGAGGCGCTTGGGGAGCAACCACAGCATGAGTTTGGGGGTGCAAGAACTTTTTCTTTTGGTACCAGGGATAGAACCTGGGACTCTGCGCTTGCAAGGCAGGCGGCGGAACCACTGAGCTAAATCCCCGGCCCCACAGCACGAGTCTGGGTGACAGCTGCGGTTCAGGGAGAGCTGGGTGAAGGGGCCGCAGCTCAGCCTTTCCAGGGCTTTGTTTCCTCATCTATAAAATGGGGAGGACAAAAAAAAGAGACAAAAATGGAGCAGACAGTTGAGTACCTGCCTGGGGGCTCAGGGCCCTTCATCAGCAGACACGGCAGCTGCTGCCACCAGGTAAGGAAGGGCACCTTGTGGTGGGGAAGTCACGGACCCGATGTGGGCTCGGGAGGACTGCAGAGAAGTGACCACTTCCTGGGTGCCCCAGCTGGGGCCGGCGTGGACAGCATCCATCCAGACACAGTCCCCTCCATACTCGCCGCAGGGCCACCTCCTGCCCTCTGCCATCTCTGTCTGTGCTGAGCCAGCAAACACAGCCTTGCTAAGCCACCTTCCCAAGACAACTCTCCTCGCGTGCCTCCGCCACCTTCCATGGGGGGGGGGGGGGGGAGAAGGCTGCAGCTGCTTGCCAGGCTGCTCCTACTCTGAACTGGTGACAGCAGCCAATTTACGACCCCTAGATGAAACCCAGTGCCCTGTGAGTACATCTTGGGGCATCCTAGGAAGGGACTGGTCCTTCGCCTGGTCCCAATGCTACGCTTTGACCCTGTTACCTAGGGGCGTGAAGGGACTTCTGGGCACTGTCTTGGCTGCCACCCCATCAGCTTGCCCTGCAGCAGACCAAGGCCCCAGTCGCTTGGCCAGAAAGAGGACAGGATGCCTGGGAAGTGGAGCACGAGGCAGGGAGGACATGGCACCATGAGCAAGCCCTGCTTCCTGCAGCTGTGCTAAACACCGGAGGAAGCTCAGGCTCCGCATCCCCTATCCTGAGAAGCCTGCGCTGGCCAGCTCTGCCTCAACCCCTGGGGTCTAAAACAACTGGCTTGGACAGGCTGGACCTCCGGAGACTTGGGTGGGAGGACCCCTTGGGCCTGGGCTCCCAGTCTCCCTGGGAATCGCAGTGTACATCGCCCCCCTCCACACCTGTGCCTTCCGAGGAGCAGTGGGGCTTGGTGGTGGTTAAGAAAGATTTGCCTGCCACGCTCCCCGGGGTCAAGCTGCAGCTCAGTCACTGGCTGCTGGACCTGAGCTCCGAGCTTGGGCTGCCCTTGCTTTCCCAGGATGTTCTCAGCCACCTTGGTCCCCTGTCCCCAGGGAAGTGGATCAGGTGGGAAGCAGCTGGCTACCCCCGGACCCTGCTGAAGCAAGAGGCCCTTCCACTTTTATGCCTGCTGTGGAGGCAGAGGAGCAAGGCCCAGCTCTGAAGGCAGCGTCTGCAATGATCTATGTCCCCGCCCACCTTCCACATCTCTGCTATAGCTCAGCCGGGAGAGGGTCTAGGGACAGGGACGGCGGGTTCCAGACCCGGCTGTTCCCGGTCCACCGCGCGGCTCCTAACTGATGACAATCATTTAGCTCGTGGTCTCCCGCCTCCCTGGGACAGAAGCGTATCCAGATCCACCGCGTGCACAGCAGAAAGGCCGGCTACTGTCGCCCCACCCCGCGTGCTGCCGGGCCCAGGCGCCCAGGGGGTCAGGCCTACCAGGGGGCAGCGACGGGAGGAGGCGGCGTCCCCCCCCGCACCCCGCATTCCGAGACCCGCCCCCCAGCCTGCACCCCGCTTTCCTAGCCCCTGCCCCCGGCATGTGCCCAGCCTCGATTGCTAGCCCGGCGCGCGGTGGGGGTGGGGCAGCCCCGCGGGCCGCGTGCGGCCGGGCCCGCGCACTCACCTCCGCGCGATCCGGTAGAGTAGCACGCCGGCAGCGGCGCACGCTGTGACCCCCAGGCCACCGGCCAGGCCGGCCGTGGGGCAGCGGGCTAGCAGCGCGCTCAGTCCCTCCATGTCTCCGGCGGCCTGGGGTCGCAGGAGCGAAAGAGGGCGGGGGACGCGGCCGGCGACGCGCCTGCTCGCGCCGTGACCTTCGCCGCTTTGTAGCCGGCGCGGGCCCCGCCCCCTGACTCGGCGCGCTCCCGCCGAGCAGCCAATTGCAGTGCGGGGAGAGCTCGGGGGGGCGGGGCGCCGGCGGAAGCGCGCGGAGTCGCCCAGGCGCGCCCCCTGGCGGTCGGAGGTGGAATTGGGCACACGGGCCGACGCCGCCCCGCCCACACCGGCGCCGCCTGCGCACGCGCGCTGCGCGTAGGTCTAGAACTCGGGCTGCCGGATCTGCAGACGTCCGGCGAGCGCGGGGAGCGCCTTGGCGTGCGAGCCTGCCTGTCTTTAGTCCTCTCCCCCATTCCCGCCTTCCCGGCGTCTGGCCGAACCCGGTCTGGGCGCGCAGGGCTCTCCTTGCAAGTCGCAGCTCCTTCAAAGCCACAGTGGTTAGCCCGCAGGAGCACAAACATCCACGGATGGGGACCAGGTTGAATAATCGCTGGACGGCGCGGCCCGGATGCTCACGTAACGCAGCTATTGCCAAGAATGGAGACCTGCGGGGGGCCTGAGGGGTGATGGATTTAGAAAGCCGCGTGCAGACCACTTCCGTAATATTCTAGGAGTGAAGCCTGCGTGTGTTTGGTTAACACTGATGCAGACGGGTTACCCGGGGAGGGGACTTGGGGAAGATCACTGTTTCAGTATCGATTTGAGCTAAATGACCACCCAGGAAAAGCTAATGGGAAGTATTTCAATCTGTGACCTCACAGCTTTCAGTGTTCTGAGGTCAGTATTCTTTGTGGGCAGCCACAGGTCAGTGGGTTCAGTCCCCAATAATGCAAAAAGAAAAGGGGGGGGGCGGTTCTGGTACTTACAGCTAATCCCTCCAGGGAGTCTATGGACTCTGGTCTCCTTTCCTTTTTGCTTCTGGGCCGGGAACTGAACAGCTTGGCCTGACCACGCGCTCCCGCCATGATGTGCCACCTCCCCGCAGCCCCAGAGACAGGCCAGTCAACCCTGACATGGAGCCTCTAAAACCGTCAGCCCAGATCAACTTTTAAATTCATTATCTAAGGGATCAGCTGACCAACACAGCTTTGAGTCATAAAGTCAGAAGCCAAGGCCCCTTCAATCTTACTCAGTAAGCAGGACCAGCGGGGTGTGGTGTGGGATGCCTGTAATCCCCACACCCTGGGAGGCTGAGGCAGGAGGATCACAAGTTTGACTTTAGCCTGAGTGATTGAGTAAGACCCTGCCTCAAAATAGCTCTGTGTGACGGGCCTGGGTTCAGTCTCCAGCACCCAAGTCATAAATGTGCATATACATGACTAAGAATAATGAGGGCCGGGGATTTAGCACAGTGGTTCTACCACCTGCCTCGAAAGTGCAAGGTCCCAATTTCGATCCCTAATACCAAAAAAAAAAAAAAAAAAAAAAAATTCCCAATGACTTGGCTTGTGGAGGAGAGAGGAGGAAGTCCTAGGATTTCTGCACTCAAAGCTCCCACAATGGGGCCTCCCATTTCAAGCCCAGCAGCCCTCTCCGGAGGAAGCCTTCCTTCTTTTCTGCCTGCTACCCTTCCAGTCTGGGTGTCCATTTCTTCCATTTCAGTGCAGGAGACACAGAGAACTAAATTATCCTAACTCAGTACCAAATTTATATTTTTAAGAATGTATCAGCCACGGGCCGGGGATTTAGCTCAGTGGCACTGCACCTGGCAGGCAAAAGCCCAAGGTCCTGAGTTCGATCCCTGGCAGTGGAGGAAAAAAAAAAAAGAATGTATCAGCCAGGTACGGTGGTGCCTGTATGTAAGCATGCGAGAGGCTGAGGCAGAAGGATCACTGTGAGCCCAGACTACACAGTGAGTTCAAAGCCTGAACTACACAGCAAGATCCTATCTCAAAAGACCAAAAGGGGGTTGATGTGTAAGTGGAAATTAAGCAACTTGATTTTTAACCATCACAGATAAAATCTTGAAAAGTTTAGGTTTTCCTATGAATATTAAAATTGGAGGCTGTTCCAGGTGCCATTATCAAACAGCTACCATGAGCTTCTGGGATAGAAACCACCTTGCTGTCACATGCTTTAGCAACCAAGTAGCAATGAAGCTTGACTACAGTTGCTCATTTTGACTTCTAGATAGTTGTTGACACAAATTATATTAACACCAGCGACTTCTCCATGCCTATAAAGGTGAACAAAACTTCGCTTTAATTGAGGTGAAAGTGTCTTCCTTCTCTTTCTGTCAGTGACTGTAATTCAATCTGAAACCCAGTGGGTCACTATTAGCTATTAGAATAGAGCATCATTCTTGCCCTTCAATTGAGAAGTAGCCTTCAGCTACAATACACTCACACTTCAGCGAGAGAGCTGATAAAGTATTACTGATTTCACCTGGGGTTTTTGGTACATACTAGGGGTTGAATACAGGTGCTCTCCCGTATCGGGCAAGAGCTTGACCACTGAGCCCCATCCGTCCACAGCCCCTTAACTGTGGAGTCCTGGGGACTGAGCCCAGGGAGCACAGTTACAGTTTATCCTGACATGGTCTCACTGGGTAGCCCAGGCTGGCCTCCAGCTCGAAACTCTCCCACCACGCTGGCTGCCTGCTGTTTTATTACAGTCTTTTTTGTGCCCATATTACATTTCCTTTAAAAATGAGTGTGTAAAATTCTAAAACGTTTCTCAGGGTACTTCAACAGTACCTGTGGCTGCAGTCAGGATACAAGTGGTCTTGTCAGTCATGCATGGGCTCCACTGCACCCCTCCAAAGCCCGAGACCAGGGCAGAGATCCCTGCCAGCTCCGGGCCGAGGCTGTGCCTGCTTGCGGGGTGCCCAGTCTCCCCGATGCAGAAAATGGCCCAGGGGCTGGGCGGCCGTTGAGTTTTGCCTTTGGGAAATGTCACCATACAAAGCCTTTAGTGTCAGAGAGGTACACTTACTTACTCCATCTCGACCCTAGAGCTCATCAGTCTGTCCGAACTGGAAACCTTAGAGAAGGGAAACAGCTGGGAAGTTTGCCCACAGCACCACCAGAACGTGGCCACACTTCTTTCCCGTCTGCCTGCATGAGACCTTAAAGGCAGATTAGAAAACAATGTGTGCTTTGACTTCATCCTTCTTTTCATTTCTAGGGTGTGTTTCACGGAGACAGTTAATTCCTTAGCTATAGGGTACAGTGAAATGAGCATAAGAGGACACGGGGCAGGGGATATAGCTCAGTGGTTCTGCTGCCTGCCTCGCAAGTCCAAGGTCCCAAGTTTGATCCCCAGTACCAAAAAAAAAAAGGACACAAACCAAATTTATACTTAAATTAAATAGCATGATTTAATTTAGTTGCTGCTTAATCCTGAATCCTCTTAAGTTAAAAAAAGAAATTATAATTCACTATTAACATTAATGAATTCAAACCTTCCAGAAAGCACGAACCCAAAAGGAAATGTCCATCATGGTGACACGAACCAGACACGCTATGGCCTCTCCTGTGTCTGTCTGGGACACGCTACACAGCAACAGAACAGAGATCTTGGAGGTTCTCCGTTTTATTCTAAGCACAAGTGTGTGGCTGTCACTGCCCATGGTCCTCCAGCAGGTACACGATGAGCTCGTAGGTGGACAGCACGATGGCCGTGTTCGGGATCTGCCGCACGAGCTGGGCGAAGAGCCCCCTGTAGAAGGCGAGGTAGCCCTCCTCACGGAGCACCAGGCGTGCTGTCTGCACGAAGGACTTGTACTTGGTGCCCTCCTCCCGGAGCCTTGTCCTTATGACCTCTGCGGGGACAGAAGCACACGCTGTATGCCACCTCAGGCTGCCCTGCCCCACCTCCCTCCCTTCAGGGAGCTCGGCCTGTCTGTCACCGGACACCCCTGCCTGTCATGTGGACCTCAGACCTGGGACCTCTGGGGTTTGCTCAGTGGTGCCCCAGCACATGGTGGGACTCACTGCCTGGGACTGAGGTAACGTGTGTTTGTCACTGCCGACAGTGCAAGAGGCTTTTAGAAGAAGACTTTTTATGGCACAATAAACCAAGTTTCTCTTTAAAAAAAAAAAAAAATAGGTCATTGGGATGGTAATTCTGTAATTCTTTAAAAAATAAAACGAGCTGGGTGTGGCAGTACACACCTGTAATCCCAGCACTTAGGAGGCTGAGGCAGGATTGCTGTGAGCTTGAGGTCAGCCAGGGCTACACAGTGCATTCAAGGCCAGCCTGAACTACATAGGGAGACCCTGTCTCAAAAAACAAAAACCACCAACAACCCCTTCCCCACAAAAACAAGAACAATTTGGCTAGGGGCATAGCTCAGTGATCCGGTGTTCAGCAAGTGGAAGACCCGACGATAAAACTGCTGAGAAATAAACTCACCTGCAGGAGACCTGCTGAGCTCCCCACTCACCGTGGGAGCTGAGGGATTTCTAGTCTGGCGCCTGTTAAGGGTCTGCAGTCTCTCCCAAGGCTCAGGTGTTGAAGGCTTTGGTGCCCAGAGCAGAGTTCAAGGAGGGGACTTTGGGGAGGGGACTGGAACAAGGATCCACCCCCCCCCCCCGACAGATCTGGAACTTGGTGGCACTGGAGGCGGTGGGGCCTGACTGAAAGATTTCCCTGGGGCGGGTCCTGAAGGTGCTCTCTGGTCCCTGCTCTTCCCCTCTGCCTCCGCCACCATGTTTTTGCCTCACCTCGGGGCTAAGAACAGTGGAGCCAGCTGGCTACAGGCTGAAACCCTGAGCCAGAATAAATCTTTCCTCCATTTTTCAGGTGTTTTGTCACAGCTACAAAAAGCTAACACAGCTCCCGTCTGAAATTCTTCTGAATCAGGAGTTTTGGGGGCTTCTTTGGAACCATCCAAGTTGGCACCACGGCCCCACATTTCTGCATGGCAAGTTCCGTCCCTGTCAGCGGAAGCTGAGGGAGGCACGGTTCCCACCAGGCACGCACACAGCCTGTGTCCACAGGTTAACGCCGGCGTCACTCACGTGTTACCTCACCTGCGGGAACAGGGTGAGCACCCCAACCGGTAACCAGCCCAAGGCTCGTGCAGCCCACGGTGCTGGGATTAGGCACACCCAGCTGC